TTCAATGCTTTAAATACAAGCTCAAATGAGCTAACTCTTACAAAAACAAGATGAGAACATGGACTTAACATAACCATGAGCATGCATGTGACAATTCTCCATGGAATCAACTCAAAATTCAATAATTCAAACATGCATGCATGAATGAGCTCCAATCCAACATTAATGAACCAATTCTTGACTTAGCTCTTTAAACTACCATGATCCATGCTAGAAGGAACTTAAATACACAATAAAAAAGATGAAATTCATACCTAGGTTCCTCAATTACAAGTCTAGAGGCTCAATTTACCAATTTACTCTTCAATTCTTCAAGTTCTCTAGCCACACTCTCAAGAACAACTCAACTCTCTCTCACTCTCTATCTTGGTCGGTTGGCTTCTCAAATGTGGCTGAACAAATGTGTGTCTATGTGTTAATAAGGCTCAACATGTTGAGGTAATGGCCACTAAGGATGGCAAAATAGTAATTAAGTCTAAGTTGTGCAATTTATCAATAATTTACCTAATTTAATCATACCAAATCACATTTTAACTAAATATGCCATAAAATCACATTAATTCTAAGGATCACAAATCATCAATCAATTTCAGATTCGGCCGCCGATAAGGCCTTCAATTCGCAATTTAAACACAATTGCATGAACAGATAATCGAACAGTCAACAGATAGACATACAATTGAACAGATATACTTAATTAATTCAATTCCAGATTTCAGTCAATCAGTTCAGTACTTCAATCAATTCAGTTACCAATTATAATCAGTCTCAGTTTAGCAGTAATCAGTGGTTAATCGGTAAATAGTGACGAGAGTTGTTACAATATCAGCACAAATTTGAGCACCATTTCAACCAAATTTCAGCAACATATCAGCCCAAATTTCAATACCATTTCAGCACATATTTCAGCAACATATCAGCACCAATTTTAGCATTATTTCAACCAAATTTCAGCAACATATGAGCAGAAATTTGAGCACCATTTCAACCAAATTTCAGCAACATATCAGCCCAAATTTAAGCACCATTTCAGCACATATTTCAACAACATATCAACATTCACATAAAAAAAGGTTAAGGTCATTTCAACATTCAAATTTCAGTACAATCTGCCAAGTCTTCAATATTACATATCCAACAAAAAAGTTTACAAATTTCTCAAATTTCTACATTAACATGAAGAGTGTTCAATATTACATATTCAACAAAAAAATTCAACGCTACAATATTGACGTGTGATCCACATTCCCATGGCCTTGGCCACGCCCATGTCCATATAGTACCTAAAAAAGAAAACAAATATATATAAAGAACCATAAAATAAAATGGAACTTTAAATGAATGAATGGCAAGATAAAAGAGGATTGGTGAAAAATAAATTACTTCACTATATGCAGGACTATTCGAGGCTTGTGAGTCATAACCGCTTGCATTGTTAAGCAAGTCTTGATAGCTTCCATGGACCGAATACATCGATGGCATTGAAAAATGCATATTGTGATGAAGAAAACTTGGCTGTAACAATAACAAACACATATCAATTTAAAATGGTACAAAATATTTACAAATAAGTCATAATAAAACTTCTTATTAAAGTAACTTACATCATAGGCGAGATACATAAATTGAGTAGATGAAGCATTAACTTGAGGAACACACGTCGAGAATAGAGGAAGTTGAGGAGCACTTATTGAAAATAAAGGAGCTGATTGAGGAATACTCGGTGAAAATGAGGGAGATGGTTCAGGAGCACTCGCCGAAAATAAGAGAGGAGGTTGAGGAGCAACAGACATGGGAGTTTGAGAAGCATTGTGTGAACTAGGTTGAGGAGCAACAAACATGGGAGTTTGAGAAGCATTATGTGAACTTGTTTTATTTTTCTTTGCCAACGCAAGCTCCAAACCACCTTTTGTTCGCCTTCGTCCCTTGCTAGTGAACTCTCTTCGTTTGAGTCCTTTTGCTTGAACTACATTTGTATCCACTACACCATCCACTTTAAAGCTTTCGAGGCATGTGCCAGGAGGGCTTTCATGTTCAATAGTATCTGAGAAAGGCATATTGAATTTTGCGCTTAACATGCTTTCAATGTTTGCAATTAAGTCATCTGCTTTCTCTACCGTCAAGTTATATGTTTCCTCACTTTCGGAAGCTCTACACGCTACTGCTCTGAAAATTGCCATCAATGATCTAAAGCGTGAAGTTTGATGCAATCTTTCATCAACCTTAATATCATGCCCACACCTATCTTTCACATTTTCAGCTCTTGTTTTTTTAGTCCATCTCTTGAGAATATATTGGGAAGGAATCTCTTTGAATTTGAGGATTTCTCTAAGGATCTTCAAACAATGACTACACAAAATGCCTTTCATTTCAAATTTCTTACAATTGCAAGTGAGTGAACCATCACACTCCACTGTCACTTTCCCCACCTTTACACCATCACTATCAAGAACCGTATAAATGGTACTCTCACCACAAATTTCAGTTTCTTCAATGTTTACTTCAAGGGACTTGACATACTCATCTTGAAATTCTTCATAAATTTTATTTGTGTAAACATCTGCAGCTTGCTCCATAATCTTCACTTTAATATTCACCCTCAGCAACTTTTGGCATAGAGCATATTCAGCTTGTAACTCTTTGTCTATACCCTGAAACCCCTCCTTATTACAAACAAATAGCCTTGAAGTGATTTGCCCCTCCTTGTTCTTGTTTACATAACCCTTCTAATACTAAACCCCATCCTTCCTCCATAAGCATTATAGAAATTATATGTTTCTTGTTCTGTATCAAATGTCATGTGAACTCTAGGCTTCCAATCACAATCACCCCCGTCATTCTCAACATTGTTCGGTTCCATATCACTGTGCCAAGTCACTTAAAAAAATAAAAAAAAAAGTGCTCAATATTAGCATAAAAACTGTAAATTATGTTTGTAAAATAATACAAACTAAATAAAAACACTACAAGAATTGAATCATATTAGATTGTATAAACAAAGGGGCACAAAGATGATCTTCAATGTTAAATTATGTTTTAAATGATCCAGGTTGAACACAAATTCCTTAATTTTCTTATAATCAACATGCTAACATACAAAATCAAAATTAACATTAAACAACAAAAACAAACAAAATAAATGGATGAATAAAATGTAAGATACTTCTATTTATATACATTATCTTTGACTGCACCAAATGTTTAAAAAACAAACATCACTTATCAGCTAAAGTGATAACCATAACAATAAACTATGATGATAATTTTTAATCTAAGGTCAATTAAAGCTGATTTTTTTGTTTTCATTTATTTTTAACCATCTCTATTAAACAAAATTGCCGTAATTTTCCACACCTCCACAGCAAACAAAAAAGAAAGGGGTAAGAAAATCAACCAAATGGCTATAACCTACAATTGCACAATATTGATTAAGATAATAGCTAAATTACTAATATGAAATAAAAAAATAAATAAGGTTTGCCCAAAAGCACAACCTATAAATGATGCGCAAAAAGCATAGAAGGGTTATAAACTTATATTTAAACAATAAATATACTGAATTCATGACAACCATGATCAACTCAAAAAATGATGAAAATTTTAAAAACTAATTTGGTTTCGTTTTCATAATCTATTTTTTTAAAACACTAAAAACTAATTTGGTGAAAAAATAATGAAAATTTTAAAAACACTCATCATCATGTCATTGTAGTTGGCATGGTTGCTGAAATACCCCAAGCCTTTTTCTTTCAGAAATACCTCCATTTCTTCTTTCAGAAAGGACTAGAAAAAGAAGATTTCATGGAGGACTTATTGTTCCATTTCTTGAAATGGTTTTCTTTTTCAGACCTCTTTGCTAACTATGTCTCAATCACTGCCAGAATTCTTTCCATTTGGCAATCACAATCCTTCCAACAACTCTGCTTTTCTCCCTCCTCATAGATTTCGTGAACTTCCTTAAACAGTTCCATCTCAACCTCCAAAACGGTGGAAAAGAAAATTCTGGATAACTGCTCTCTTGGGTTTCGTTTTCAGAATTTGTTTTCTGAAAACACGAAAAACTAATTTGGTAATGAAAAAATAGAAAATACTCATAATTTTTTTTTGGGTTGTGTGCATAAATAGTTATTGAAAATTCAAAGATATTTTTCTGGTGTTTATTTTCAGCAAACTAGTTTTTTAGTATTTTTCAGAAAACAGATTCTGAAAATGAAATCAAACCAAGATGCTCAAGAATGTAAAATTGCAGGAGATGGAAACATAAAGGGTAGCATTGGAGGTGTACCGGCTTCCACTACTACTAAAAAAATATGGTTAGTGGCTCAAGCACTCGGGGACATTGCTTTTGCCTTTCCATTCTCCGTCATTCTGATTGAGATACAGGTGCAGCGTATTTTTGTTTTCATGTAAACACACATTTCACTTTATAAGAACCTTAAATCTCAATCATCATTCATTTAGTTAAACGGTGAAATTTGTGAAAAATGAAGGACACTTTAAACAATACATATACATAAAAATTTGAGCCGAAAAAATTTTGGGGATTGTGCAGAGATTGGGGTATATATGTATAGATTTGTACAATGTTAAAAGGGATAAATGAAATGTTCCCACACCTCAGCGACAGCGGTGACGATTGGACGACGACGACGGTGGCAATGGCTGGACGACACTCCCGCATCTCTTCTCTCTCTGTCTTCTTCTCTCTTTTTTGCATTCCCGCCACACAGCTTTGCTTACCGGAGGGAATGATTTGGGAAATAAATTAAGTCATATCAAAATAAGTCATATCATTTTATTTCTTAGTTAACCTAAACAAAATAAATTAATATTATTTTACTCATAGTAGTGTATATATATTTTTATATTATATCATCAAATTAACATAATTATATAAACAATATGGCATATATTGTTAGGAAATTATTTGATTATTGTTATAATCGCTCTCATAAACTACTGGCAACTTACAAAGTGGCATTACATTACTGCCCGTCTCTTACTTACTAGTCACTCTCATCTCAGCCGCGTGGTGTCATCTGGTTCAACAAGACCCACGAACACAGGTCAGTCAACTCCAGTCAACTGCCCCCACCAACACATAAACAACTCAATCACTCCTCTAATTATCTATATTTTCCTAAATTCTATGTAAATAATTTAATCAATCAACAAATATCTCTCGATTCTCTCTGTCTGAGAATCGTCATCACATGGCCGAGAATTCAATTCTGGGTAGTTGTTATCTGAATCTCTGTCTCGTCGTTTTGTTCGTATTTATATGCTTTCATGGTCAATGTTCCTCGCACGAAGTCCAACGTGGTGCTCCGTACAATTCCTTCACTGTCTCAAGCTTCAGCTATTCCAAAACCCAGCTCAAACCCTACGATTGGCGTTATATCAGAGGTACTTCTATACTCTACAAACCCATATATGGGTTATATATATATATATATGCTTTTCTTGAATTTTTTATTTGTTTTTGTTTTTAATGGGTTTTGGGTTTTCCCTGTAATGGGTAGAGGTCGAGACTTTTTATTTTTGTTTTTTTAAATGAATTTTCTTGAATTTGTTTATGTGATTGAAATTGAGTATTTAATTGTTGTTTAGTTTATATGATTTAGTATTTATTTTGGTTATTATGTATGTTTTATTAGTGGTACTTGTATACTCTCTCTACATTTTCATTTTGATTTTGATTTTGATTTTTTTTTTTTTTTTGATTAATCAAATCTTTTTTTTTTTTTTAATAATTATTACGGATTGTGGGTTGTTCTGTGTAGTGGGTAGAGGTCAAGACTTAATTTTTTTAATGAATTCATTGAATTTGAATGGTAATTAGTCAAATCAAATTACTTGTCTGTGTTCTGCAGTTAGCTTTTCTTTATTAATCAAGTGGACTTTTTTGTTTTGTTTATTTATGGATTGTGGGTGATTCTCTGTAACGGGTAGAGGTCAATGTTCAATTTTTTTTTTGAATTTGCTCATGTGATTGAATGGTAATGGTTACTTAATTGAGTATTCAATTGATGTTTAGTTTATATGAGGCAGTATTTATCGTGGTTATTATGTGTGTTATATGAAGTGTTTCACATGCTTTGTTATGTTGTTTTGGAAATATTTCAAGTTGATTGCATGACTAAGAATTTAAAAGGAATTTAAGGCAAAAGAGTCTCTAATATCTGCTAGCTGTTGACTTGGGTTTTCTGGATTTGATGTTGTTTTGATTGATGGGTTGTGGTCAACTAGTTGCTTTCTTCAGAAACTTCAGTATTGGTCATGATCATTAAATCCTTATTTTTTTATTGGGATTTTACCATTTTTTAGAAAATCTTCTGGGCATTATTTTAAGCCTTATTAGTGAATTTAGACTAGAAGCTATGAAGAACAGATAATTCTACATTGGAATTGCATGTGTATCATACTCGTAAGGATACCAATACTACTTAGATAATCGCCGATACATATCTAAAAATTTCTTAATGTATCCAAAATTAGAAATAATTTATTTAATTTTGAATTATTGGATACTTTCTAGATACTCTAACTATCCGACCTACCTATCTTTTAATTAAGATATTGCATATTTTTTTGTGTAGGATCGAATATACTTGTTAGAATAAATGTAAGAACATTTTCCAATACTTTCCATATTCCCTAGTGAAGAAAAATTATGAAATAGTGAGATTAAAGCATGTCAAATTTGGTCGAAGTTCATGCCCACATAGCATAACCATCTTTTTTATGTGAATACATTATTAATTTGAAACTGAGTGTATTTATTTAAATCTAACTGATGATAAATAGTTTGTTATAAATATGTTACAATGTAATTACTTTTTAATTTCTAGATATACACATGATATATACACACGTGTTGTCATATCTATAACATATCCACATCCTTTTCTTTTTATTTTTTTAATTTTTAAATTTTTTTTTTAAAAATAATTTTTAAAGATTTTTCTTTATCATCTTATCCGTATCATGTTGTATCCATGCTTCATAGACCAGAAGTAATATATTTCTTTTAAACAAGTGTTGTTATGCAGTGATTTTGTCATTTTTGTGGTACCCTCTGCTACATGTAAAATATTGTTCACAACATGCTAATCACATCTAAATGGAAAAGGCCATTAATGATGGTAAATGTAGTGTATGTTCTTTTTGTCATGGTTTTTCATTTGTGACATTGAGCAAATGCTTTAAACTAATATGGACATTGCGTTTGTGTTTTTGTAACTCATTCTTAGTTATATCCCAAGTTGCAAATTAACCTTAGTTGCAAGTAGTTAGATTACCAATTAAGGGGTTTCAAGCCTTGTATGCATTACAAAAGACCATGTTTAATCTTTAATTCATTTAAACTTCCTTAGTCCTCTTTTCTGTCTTTCGTAACTCTATCTTCATTTTGAAAGTCGTGATGAACTCTAGATTTTGTCATTTTGATCAGCTGATTTCTTTCCTGCTTTCTTACCCCCGTCTTATTAGTTTTGCTTTGGATGTCTTGTTGCAGTTGATTTGCCACCATGGTTCTCTTCAATGTCAGTTGCATTGGAGTCAGACATAGATCTTGTATGTATCCTTGTCAAACATTCTTGAAGTAGGCTTGTTCAATGTATCATAATTCATAATCTTGTTTGCTTTCTTGCACTCAAGTTCTTCCATTGATATGTGTTTTGCAAATTTCTTAACATGGAAAACCTTTTATTGACTTGTATATATAGAAATTAGAATTTGTCTACAACCATTGGGCTCTTAATATATACAACATTGCGTGATATTAGTTTTCCTGTTTTTCGATGCTCTCATGTCCGTAAATCTAATTCTTGCAGGATCCTAAAAGCATTAAAAAAGTTCCCAGAAGCCGGATACCGATGATATGCCTACGAGAAGGCGGCCCTCCTCTTCCGGATGCTTATAACACTTCTTTGATCAGTTTAGGTAAAAGTTACCCTCATAAACTTGTTTAAATTGAGCTTCTACCTTTCCTTGATTCCCACAAATTGGTTTTCATCTATGTTAGTGGACTTAGGTGCGGTTTCGGGTGTGGGTATGTATCTAAGTGTTGGATTCATCTAATTCTCCTGTCCAAGGACAATAGGACACGACTGTATTTTATATTTTTTAAGAATTTATTTTATTTTTAAGAGTAAAATGGTGTTTCCAAACTAGCATTAGAGCATTTTATGCATAAATAGGAGCATCAATGCATCATGCATAGTTATAAGGTAAACTTGATCACTTAGGATACGTAGTGGGTGCAAAAATTTACAGTCACATGCTTTCCGTTATGTGTAAAATTTTACTGTTTTTTTTTTGCTTATGCTTATCATTTTGTTTTTTCTTTCTTCTTTCTTTCCTGTGCGTTCTTATCTTACAATCAAACTGATTTAGATATCGGAACCATAAACTGATTTAGATGTATTTCTCTTCTGAACGCAGTTTTAGATCCTATATCAAATGGATCTTTTGGAGACATACAAGGTCTTCAGAATGAGGAACTCTGCTATCTCATGCAGAAAAATATATCCGTCACACTAACAAATGAGCAGGTTCATTTCAAAATGTTTGAATATTCTCACTTATGGTACCTAGGAAGCTTATGCACTAGTTTAGTTTTCATTTGTATTTTAACTGTTCGGTCAATGACAGTTAGCTGAATTGACATACAAAGTTGTTATGCAGATCTCTCCCGGAGTCTGGTATTGGGGTCTATTTAATGGCATTGGACCTACAAGGACACAGTCAAAGATGGTAGGTACTCTTTAGTCTTTAATAAACTGATTCTCAACATCTATCTTTACTTGAATTTTTTAATACTTTTCTTGGTTCAGTGTATTGTTTACGCTTCTTTTCTTCGGGTAGCCCATTTCCATTAATTCTGTTTCAGCCACTAATTTTATCATTGCTGAATGTGATTTACACTGCACCAAACAAGTTTTCTTTCTTTTTTTTTTTTCTTTTTTTTTTAAAAAAAAAAAATAAAAATATTACACCCAGTTTAGTCCCTAGTAGATTGGGTAAAAACTAACCTTTGGCATAATTTGTACAAAATGGCTACCCTCAAGTTTGAACAGACAAGTTAGTAGGCTGAGTTTTAACCACTAATCCAGTGCCCCCACCCCACCCCACCCCACACCACACCACATTGCATCAAACAAGAAAAAATATAAATTCTTTTGATTGTAATAGCAGCTAGCAAGCTCTTGTGCCAGAAACACTAGAATAATACTTATATGTTTAATCACCACTAGTCCCAAAGTTTAAGCTGTTATGAAATGGGCCCAACAATGTATATTGAGTTATTCAACACTGTCCCTCACGTGCAACACTGTCTTGTACGTGGAGATGCAAACAAACATACATAGAGAGAAGTAGAATGCAAATGCAAATGCAAATGGAGAGACTTAAAGCTAAGACTTCACTCAACCTAAGCTATGATACTATGTCAGATCAGCAGTAGTCCCTAAAGCTTAAGCTATTAGGAAATGGGTTCAACAATGTATATCAAGCTATCCAATAGCATAAACGTGGAAAATACATTTTAAAAGTTGAGTCACTAGAAGATTTATATGATAATAAAAAGTAGAAGTTTGCAGCTGATTAGAAATAATATGTATTTGGAAACTCAATGTGGTGTTGCTTCATGTAACGCCCCAAATTTTATTAACCGAATACATTACCAAATTCCATTATTAAAGTCCATTTCCATAATATAATTACAGAAGCAAAATACCTTGAAGGAAATAATTAAAGTCCTCTCTCGAATAAGTGCTGTGACAGACTTTTCAGTCAAGAATTACAACACATGCCCTTAGGCTTACGTTGAAAATCTCATAATAAAATAATTACAATAACAAGAATATAATCCCCTTTGCAATACATTGGCTTCTAACTCACAATAAACAAATCATAATACATGATAAAAACAATCTTCTTGAGTTCTAGACGATCTGTCCAACCCTGCACTTGAAAATAGTTTAGCGATTGGGAGAACACAAGGTCCAATAGGGATTTACATTGATTCAAAACAATAAGATCTATAGATATATGTGATCATGAATGCAATCTGATGATAACTAAATAGATAATGTCCCCTTTTATATCCAAACTAAAACATACATAAATATATAATTTCTTCTCCAAAATCCCGTTTGACATTTCAAGGAAAACTCATTTGTTATCTTTTCATCTCATCAATTATGACTCAAGAGAATTTCTTCAAAACTCCTTTATTTTGGGAAAAAGGTTGTTAAATCAATCCGTCATACACTCAATCTAACTTTTAACCCTGACATGATAATTAAACTATGACCTGCCAACTTTTTATAATCCACGTGGCACCAATGGATCCTACCAACACCTATCATACAGACAACTATAATCTCCCATTTACTACACAATTATTCCAATCACACACACATTTATATCTCTAACACAATCCACCATATCGCACATGTCTGCATAAACTTGTAACTAAACACAAATATTGCATAATTAACAACCAGTTTCGTCAAGCCACTCTAACACAGTTTACCGGGCGCTACTCCATAAGGAAATCTGGAACCTATCTCAAAGTGTAACGCTTTACCGGTGGCTAGTCAAAAGGAAAGCGGAACCCCCATATAACCCAACAATCCACACGCTTTACAGGGCTCTACTTTGGAAGGAAAGCGGAACCTCTGTCAATGAGCCATGTTTTACTAGTCACAAGCCGGAAGGAAACAGACCCGCTTTCTAGAACTTCAATATACCATCTCTTCATATACTTTATCATTTCAATTATAAAATTAAATCGACATCACATTACACATATAACCTATTCTACAACATACAACACCATCCTCCACCAATGGCTAAGGACAACCTCTACAAGATGAAAGGAACAGTATTTCTTATAACAACACAACGTGATCATCAAGACATTTCCACATTTCCATATCATCAATGTTTACGACATAAACAAAATTAACAGAAATACATTTGACTCTCCCTTTTTCCATAACACAGTATGAATCAATTCATAATAACCATTTGATTTTATTCTCCACCCATTTCACCTTTTTAATTCACTTTAATCATTATAACCCAACAACTATTTAAAACAACAATTTATCTCAAATACATTAGATAACCAAAATTAGGGCTTTTTATAGTAAACCTCTTTAATATGTTCAATTTGTCCAAAATCTTCATTATCAACCATAAATCATATACTTGAACACATTGAGTTCAAAACCCTAACTTCTCCTACATGCCTTTCGAAAAAAATCACACATCAAACTCATGTTTTCATGCAATAGAAAGTACCACACATCTATCTATATAGAGATATTGAAAAGAAGCAAAGAAATCCCTACCTCAAGAAAGAAGAGGAGAGGGCCCAGAAATCTAATTTTGACAAAAACACAATCTGCTCAGATTAAAAGGAAGCCCTTGCCGTGCTCTATGTTTTGGTATAAGGAACTAGGGTGAGATTCTCACTCTAAAGAGATGAAACCCAAGGTTTAATGGACTTGGAGCTCAAAAATGGCTGAAAAGAGACAGGAGAGAGAGAAAGACCTGAAAAAGTGAAGAAAATCGGGCCAAAAGTGACTTTTAAATTGACAGATCCCGAACAAACTGTTCGAGTGGTGTGAGAGCAAAGACCGCTCGAGTGGTTACTCCTTCGCTTGAGCAGAAAAACCCCCTTCCCCAAAATTTCAGACCTGCAGAGAGAGAGATGCTGGCTGCCTCACTTCACCTCTCGAGCGGTATATCCACCGCTCGAGTCCCCCAAATTCCAGACTGCTACACTTCATATCTGAAAAAATTACTTGCACAAATGGTTCCTGAAAACATCCAGTAGTCTTCGTTTATAGGAGAAGAGAATTGGCTCTGTTGAGAACAGTTTGTATAATTACCTAAACCACCTGAAATACCCTTCTCCCACTGAATTGAAGATGTTCTCTAGATAATTTTGTAGCTGTTTCCGTTTGATTTTCCCTTTTTGTTTCCAGTGAAATGGTTCAAATTCCATGATTTGTGATTAATGACATTTTTAAATGTATTTGAAATTATTACTTTAATTCTGTTGGTCTGACAATGCAGATTATTCGAGGCCCAGCTTACTCATTCAGTGGCAATGTAAGTGTGGAAGGATGCAAATCCCCAATGCAGTTGGGCCAATATTGCAACAGAACGGTTGATCTGCTTTCATGCGCAGACAACTACAATTTAACAGGAAATCTTTCAGATACTAAATTGTACAATCAAACAGAAGCAAACGTGGTCTCTTGTACAAATTCTGATGGGAATTCTTGCCACGGAGACAGTGAACCAAAGATCTACTCCTTGGATGTAGTGGATATAGCAGAACAACTAACCATAATGGCAACAAATGTGAGATTCAATGAAACAGCATCCAATGGTAGGGTGAATGATAATGGAATTATTTTGACATGTTATGCACGTCACGGTGCAATACCACTTGCCACGTTGCCTGATTATTCTGCTAATATCAGCAAAAACCCTTTGGTTATACGCTCACCAAAAGTTGGCCGCTGGTATATTGCAATTCATCTTGTTAATCTGTCAAATGAAATTGGAGGGGTTCAGGATGTGAATGTAAATGTCTGCTATTCTTTGGACTGGCAAGTACTTCAGTGTCCTGAGGGGAAGGCTGGATTGAACTGTACATGGGAAAGATACATGCTTCAGGTGAGATTATAGATAGATTTGTGTCGTCTACATTTCCTATTTTGTTTTATGTTTTCGTCAACTTGTGCTAGTGCTAGTGTGACTCAATAATTAAGTTGCTCTGATGCGTGTCTGCTTTCAATGCATATCAACCCAGTTGAATAATTTTCTTATGTGCATATTGGCTATAACTTGGTATATGGATGGCATATCGGATGAGGAGCCAAGGAACAAAATTTTGTTTCTATTCCATCAAAACGATCAACACGTTTCCGTGAACATTAGTGGAATACTGAAATGTCAATGTTTCCATCAAAACAAACCGGAACAATCTGAAACATACCACAACAAAATATTTAACAATACTTGTTTCTATATACCTCTTTTTTTCACAAGAAAATATTAAATTTATTTAAAAATATGAGAAACTAAAAAGTGAAGATAAAACAAGCATGATTAAGTCACTTATCCAATTTTTCCTTACTACTACTACTTGAATTTGGAATTTTTTATTTTTTTATTTTTCTTACAATGGCAAATTTATTCCCCCAAGCCTTTAAGCCTTTTGGTTTTGAGTTTCTAACATTCATAGACTTCAACATGTTCATTAATTAATTATTGAGAATGTATTAACATTTTTATAGGTTTTTGTTTTCAATTGTTGTCGAATACTTTTCTCATTTCCCTTATATTTTTGAAACATTTTTTAAATGTTTCCGAAACGTTTCCATTTCCAAGCTAATGGTAACAACATACCAAAATGAAATTTTGATCCTTGCTTGGAGTTTCGCATCTTCATGTTCATCTGGCATGATCGAACAAGTGTTTGTTTGGAATGTTGACTTGAAACTATGAGTAGTCCAAATAGTAATAGAATCCTTTAGCACTTGCCGTCAGATCATATATGAAGATGGAAATCTACCTTAAAACAGGTTTTCTTATTTATAGTTCAAACTTCTACCTATATAGTTTGATATATTGGTTGTATATATGTTTATGAATGCCAATTACTCGTCTTAAATGTTGTGCACATACAACTTGATTTCCTTGGATCTGTACTTCTTGTTGATTCTTGAAGAAACTTATTCGCAGGAGTAATTTATTGACAAGCTGAGAATGATTGTCTGCAGACCGTTCTCAGGAAGAATCCATCCGTTCCTTTTGAATCATATTATTTACCAATAAGCGAAAGGGTATCATCAAAATCAGCTAATTTCCCTCTTGAACCTCTTTTAAGCAACTCCTCAAATGACGGAAAGTTGGATTTTGTTTGGACATATTTTCTTCTGGACGTTCCTTATGGTGCTTCTGGAGGCAATCTTCACGTCCAACTAAAGTCCGATGCAAAAATAAACTATGAAATATATGCCAAATATGGTGGATTGCCATCTTTTGATAGTTGGGACTACTTCTACGCAAACATGACAAGTTTCAGCAATGGCTCAATGTTTTTCAAGCTGTATGATTCAGGTGATGAAACGGTTAGTTTCTACATCTTTTATGTTAGAGGCGGAACATGGAGTTTTGGATTGAGGCACCTAAACCCGAGTGATAATACTACCAAAAATCAAACAACTTTGTCTATTTCACTAGAGAGATGCCCAATGAAATGCTCTTCTCACGGGACGTGTCCGTCTGTTCTGGATACAAGTGGATTGACTTTATACAGGTTTGATTTTCTGCCTATTCAAATTATTTTATTTGCTAGTCGAGTCGAGATAAATTAAATTTCCTAGACGACAACTATGTTCCTTTATTACTGAAAAGTGTTGAAATTGGTGTATTTTGCTGTTAATACAGGGAGCTACAAAAGCCATTCTTGCATTTCTTTTTGATTTCTACTTATAATGTTGTTTTTTTCCCCCAGTTATTGTTCTTGTGATAGAGACCGCGGAGGCTTTGACTGTAGTGTCGAGATTGTTTCACCTCAAGGTAAAGCTCATATTATTCATTATGCTGAACCATAGTTGCATGAAATGGGTGCGGGGACAGGGGAGTGAGGGCCCTTTAGAAGAGCTTAGGGTTGGGAGTGGGGGCAGGGGCAAACTAAGTGCCAAACTAGCCTTCTAACTGATTGAGTTGTTAAAACTTGGCCTATCAACTTTGCAATTGTGGGTTCAAATATGAAGGCAGTCACTTTGTGAAAATAACACCAAAGGTTAGGTTTGTATCCAACAGAGAATAAATTGGGTATACTTTGTTTTTAAAAGAAATAAAAAAATCGAATTTGGTATCATAATCTTTTTATTTTGTGTGCCTCTTTCTAGATTGTATCCTGAACATAAAGTTGAAAGTTGAATAGTTTTTTACTTTTGGGTACTGTACATTTCATGGTACAGCTGCATGTGTACTGAATATGCAAAAACACGTATCCATTTTTTGTTAATTATTTGATTTATGTGGGTACGACTTGGGTACATACTAGGTAACTCTGGAGTACAACAAGTTCCAACTGCAATCTTGTTTTGAAGTATACGTGTACCAAAACAGGGTGTTCTTTTTATTCAGAGATGAAGTCAGCTTGATATGACTTTCGTTTATGCTTAGCATGCTTTTAGAATTAAGTTTGGTTTGTAGGTTCTCTAATGTTATGACATTAAAATTTGATTTTGAACCTTGTTTTTGACATTAAACTCTACTTTGTAGGTTGGATCCTTAAATCAACTAAGCCATGTAATTAATTTTTGCATTTGGTTTGCTAATTGTTATAAATAATGCACTGCTTCAAACTATAAAATTATATTTTTTTTATGGACGTACCTTGGCCATACCTGTATCCCTTTTTTTTAAAGGTTTTGCTGTATTGGTGCACCTGTATTATACGTGTACCAGTATCCGTGCTACATAGTTGAAAAGAATATCGGGACTGTCTGTTCAGTCACACACACACAAACACGTCTGAAGCAACTGGGTGATAAATTTTAAGATCTGTTCTTGTTACTGAGTTTTTTAGAATAGTTTACATGATTTCGAATGTAATAATTGGCTGGCCCAGATTGCGGTTTCAGGTTGATGCTAGCATGTCAGGCATATAATTAGAACTCTCTTTCTATTGGTCTTTCTCTTCTGCATTAATAAAACATTTTTATTCACATGGAGGCATAGCAATAACATTGATGTTTTTCTGTGCAACGGCCTTTTCTAAAGGAAAAATGCTGAAAACTCGTGTAGGACACCTTTGGCAATCGATTTCTCTTATTGCTTCCAATGCTGCTGCTGTACTTCCTGCTTTTTGGTGCCTTCGCCAGAAGGTAAGATTCACTTGTTCATTGGGATTGGATTGGAAATGTTTTCATATAATTTAAAGTTTCATATGGTCCATGTTAGATGGACTCAAGTACAAATATCGAGTGCCAATGCGTGTCCAAGCTTCAAATCTTCCTAAACCGAAATTTAAGGATATTAGGATACGCATCCAAAAATTGGATATGGGTATGGGACATGTCTCAAACACATATATATATTGCACATTGTATAATATTATTAGATAAGATATTATAAATTATCTATAAATAAATATGTTTCAAATTAAATGGGATTTAGAGTAAATATGGAATTTATATCTCTCATTTGTAAGTGAAGCTAGAAATGTTTACCTACTAGCAAATTTGAGTGTTTTCTTCTTCTTCAAACATCATATAAATTTAGAAGATCCGAGTCTTGACATTAGGTACAAGTGGACTCTTGTCATATCGGGGGACAGGGAAAGTAGAAGAGTCCATGTAACACGACATATGGTATTAAATTTTAGGAATTGAACTCAAGGCATTAGTTACAAATTCTCTGACCCCCCTTTTTGATTTGAAGTCATCAAGATAAAAAATGTTATTCTTCTGCAGGCATTTGCGGAATGGGTTCTTTTCATGTCTAGCGGCATTGCTAGTGGATTATATCATGCATGTGATGTAGGCACCTGGTGTCCATTATCTTTTCACGTGTTGCAGGTATTGTACAACTTCTTGCAAGCTGGAAGCTAATAATCAGAAGTTAAAAATGTTCTTTCCGTGAGTACAGATTTTCAAAAAAAAAAAAAAAAAGGAAGAAAGAAAGGAGCTGCAAGAAGCCCCTATAAGCTGCACCAAACATTGTTTTTTGAGGTTTCCTATTTTGGGACATTATTGAGTAGTTAACCATGACATATTCGCAGTTTTTGGATTTTTGGCTCTCTTTCATGGCGGTGGTGAGCACTTTTGTATACCTAGCTGATATCAGTGATGCTTCTAAGAGGACAATTCACACAGTTGTAGCAATTGTTACAGCCCTTATGGCTGAAACTGGACCAACCAGGTATTAAAACCTTCAAATTTATGAATCTTAATGGCAGGGTTTTAATTGCACTAAATTTTGCAGGTCTACCAATATTGTTCTTGTAATAGCAATCGGGGCATTTGGACTTCTTATTGGGTGGCTGATTGAATTTTTTACGAAATATAGGTCTCGTTCGATTTCAACAGTATTCTGTCTAAATATCGTCAACAGGTAAGTTTCCCATTTCAAAATCTTGAATGTCGTTTTAGATTTTCAATTTTGATATTTTTTAGTTAATGATGCAATCACAATACAAACCAACAATTTATATAGCATTTCAAGTAGACGTGTATTGTTTCAAGTGGCCATCATCTCGTGAGTGATTGTTATAAAAATAAAGTTTGTAGTTCGAGGAAACCTAAAAATGATTGTATAACATAAGGATATGTAGACACACCCTGTGAATTATAGGAAGTGTAAGCAGGTCATTCAAGTTCAAGGGACATCCAAACACAACATATGCATCTTATTTTGAAAAACTCAATTTTCAAACATTGCTATTGCCCATACCTAGCCTCCGCATGTGGCTATTTTTTGGGTGCTACCAAGGTTTTAAAAAGCGGCTGCAACCGTTACGTAACGCCGTTACGTAACGGTTGTGGTGGTTACCGTCACCCGTTACGGCCGCTTTTGCAGTGTGATTGAGATTCACAGGTGTGTCGGCCGTAGCGGCTGCCGTAGCGGTTGTAACGGTGCCGTAACAGCCGTAATGGCTTGTTACGCACCGTTATGTAACGGTTCCGAACTGCTTCTTCCGAAAAAACACACAAAAAAAAGGCTAAAAATGGGAGAAGAGGGATAGAGAGAAGAGGGAAGATAAAGAGAGAAGATGGAGGACCAAGAAATAGAAAGAGAGAAGAGGGAAAATCAAGAACATATTATTGATTTGTTGAAGCTATAAGACCTATGCTATTTTATTCAACTGTTATCACTCAACTATTTTGTTTGTGTGTGTCAATCTATATATTGTTTGATAATAATAATAATAATAATAATAATAATAATAATAATAATTGTGGTTTTTTTAGTAGGGACTTATTTTAGTAGGATCTTTGTAGCTTGATTTCAAATTACTACCACGTCCATCCAAATGGAGCGTTAGAGAATGGAGACACTGGTTAAATATCTTTCTTGTAAAATGAGGTGAATCAGTAAATGCTACAAGTTCATGCTGGAAATTGTGTTCATGCATATAATATGATAGTGGTGTTGGTTGTAGATAGTGACATGTATAGAATATGATAGTGGTGTTGGTGGTAGATAGTGGCATGTATATAATATGATAGTGGTAGATAGTGGTAATATATAATATGTAAGTGGCATATAATGGGTTATGATGATGTTTGTAATATCTCTTATATAAGGAGTGTCATTTGTGGAAACAAAATCCTATTTCCCCAACACCTCTCTTCAGGGGGAGACAAGTGGAGTAGAAGACCGTTTTTGGGATATTTCTATCCCGCTCCCCAATGTTCTTCTTCTTCATATTTTCTAAGTCTCAGACACATCATTGTTTGCAAAAAAAAATAGAAATGAATGCTTAAGTAAATAAAAAGAAGGATGCCCGAGGCGCCGATGCCACAACCATAAATCATCTTGGGTAGTAGGACTCGTGGTGGAAGAATGAGCAAGCTTATTCGGTTGATCCAAGAAGTAGAGACCATTTTTTGCACTACCACTACCAATACCAATTGTCCTCCTCGTGACAAGGTCCTGAAAAAGACAATGATTAGGAAAAAACGTCACACTACAATTCAAATCTTGTGTAATACGACTCAAGGATAACAGGTTAACAGAAAAATTAGGAACATGGACAACAGAAGATAGAGGTATGGTAGGAGTGTCATGGACTAAATCTTTCCCAGAAATAGAAGAAACAGTACCATCTGCAATCCTAACTTTGTCCTAATCTGAAGAGGGCTTATAAGCAAAGAAAAGGTCAAAAGATCCAGACATATGATCTGAGGTACCATAATCAATAATCCAAGGCAAAGACTTATAAGAAAGGAAAACACGAGGGGAAGAGGCTAAGTTACCTGATCGGGCCAACGACGAAGATGTACTGAAAGCAGTAGAAGACCGGCAGTCCAGCAAGTGACGCAGAACATCCTCAAGCTTATGAGTGGTCATGCCAAAGAGACCATCAGAAGCCTGGCCAATGGAAGCGGAAGTAGAATCAAGTGTATCAACAACACTAGACTGATGAGCCCGTAGATGGAAGCCACTTCCTCTAGACTGGCCTGACCGACCTCCTTTAGAACCAAATCGATCACCTCGACCCCCGGATGGAGTCTCATGAAGCTTCCAACACGTCTCATGAGTATGTCGCAGCTTGTTACAAATATCACGGAAGACAGACTCCTTGGTGTCAGACGGAGGCATGGGAGTCAAGTTGAGGCCATCTCTAAGGGTAAACAGTAACGTTGAGCAGTCAGTAGAGACAAGTGACATCATAGCAAACCGGCGACTCTTCTCATTTTGTATATAGGTGAATACCTCTTAAAGTGAAGGAAGAGTGTCCATACCCAGAACTCGACTCCAAACTAGATCATACTCCACATTGAGACCTGCCAGAAATTTAAAGACCTTTTCTTGTGCAATGAACTTCCTGTGCCCGATTGAATCAGCAATGCAAATAAGCTTATGGTCTTGCAGGTGATTAAGGCGTTTCTAGCCGTTGGTGAGGCAGGTGAACTACTGAAGAACAGTCTGCTCTCCCTGAACAGAGCTCTCAATAGTGCGGCGCAACTCAAATGCTTGTAAGAAATGCCCTTTGCGGGAATAGGCCACAGCATCCCAAATATCCTGGGCAGTCTCCATAGACAAGTAGTCCTTACCAATTTTTGGTACCATCGAATGAATAAGCCAACTCGTAATCAAAGAGTTGGTAATCTCTCATTGGTCATAACTTGGGTCAGTGGTGCTGGGTGTCTGTATCCTACCATCAACATACTCTATCTTCCCTCTGCTCTTCAAAAAAATAGTCAGACTCTGCGACAACGCTAGATAGTTCTAACAATTAAATGGAGAGGTGGTGATTTTAAGACTAGGATTGGGATTATCAGTCATAGTACTAAGTAGAATAGAACTCTCACGCCTAGGTATCTGAGAAGTAGTGGACACACTGGTAGAATCTACCATGGATACTGTGTTACTAAACCTTCAATAAAACTAGAGTCAATCACAAATCCGGAAAGGTAGTGATAGAAGGAAAGACATGACTACCACTATGAAAGCATAATACAATTAAGAAAAATGCTTGGGAGCACTAATTAGTGCTCCCACTAATTAAGTGGCAGTGGGTCCCGCCATTAATGATCTGATATTTTGGTCTTGGAGTTGTATTTTTTTTTTTTTACTTTTTTAATGCATTAGTGCTATTAGTGGTGATATTTTTGGTGGTAGATAGTGGCATGTATATAATATGATAGTGGTGTTGGTGGTAGATAGTGGCATGTATATAATATGATAGTGGTGTTGGTGGTAGATAGTGGCATGTATATAATATGATAGTGGTGTTGGTGGTAGATAGTGGCATGTATATAATATGATAGTGGTGTTGGTGGTAGATAGTGGCATGTATATAATATGATAGTGGTGTTGGTGGTAGATAGTGGCATGTATATAATATGATAGTGGTGTTGGTGGTAGATAGTGGCATGTATATAATATGATAGTGGTGTTGGTGGTAGATAGTGGCATGTATATAATATGATAGTGGTGTTGGTGGTAGATAGTGGCATGTATATAATATGATAGTGGTGTTGGTGGTAGATAGTGGCATGTATATAATATGATAGTGGTGTTGGTGGTAGATAGTGGCATGTATATAATATGATAGTGGTGTTGGTGGTAGATAGTGGCATGTATATAATATGATAGTGGTGTTGGTGGTAGATAGTGGCATGTATATAATATGATAGTGGTGTTGGTGGTAGATAGTGGCATGTATATAATATGATAGTGGTGTTGGTGGTAGATAGTGGCATGTATATAATATGATAGTGGTGTTGGTGGTAGATAGTGGCATGTATATAATATGATAGTGGTGTTGGTGGTAGATAGTGGCATGTATATAATATGATAGTGGTGTTGGTGGTAGATAGTGGCATGTATATAATATGATAGTGGTGTTGGTGGTAGATAGTGGCATGTATATAATATGATAGTGGTGTTGGTGGTAGATAGTGGCATGTATATAATATGATAGTGGTGTTGGTGGTAGATAGTGGCATGTATATAATATGATAGTGGTGTTGGTGGTAGATAGTGGCATGTATATAATATGATAGTGGTGTTGGTGGTAGATAGTGGCATGTATATAATATGATAGTGGTGTTGGTGGTAGATAGTGGCATGTATATAATATGATAGTGGTGTTGGTGGTAGATAGTGGCATGTATATAATATGATAGTGGTGTTGGTGGTAGATAGTGGCATGTATATAATATGATAGTGGTGTTGGTGGTAGATAGTGGCATGTATATAATATGATAGTGGTGTTGGTGGTAGATAGTGGCATGTATATAATATGATAGTGGTGTTGGTGGTAGATAGTGGCATGTATATAATATGATAGTGGTGTTGGTGGTAGATAGTGGCATGTATATAATATGATAGTGGTGTTGGTGGTAGATAGTGGCATGTATATAATATGATAGTGGTGTTGGTGGTAGATAGTGGCATGTATATAATATGATAGTGGTGTTGGTGGTAGATAGTGGCATGTATATAATATGATAGTGGTGTTGGTGGTAGATAGTGGCATGTATATAATATGATAGTGGTGTTGGTGGTAGATAGTGGCATGTATATAATATGATAGTGGTGTTGGTGGTAGATAGTGGCATGTATATAATATGATAGTGGTGTTGGTGGTAGATAGTGGCATGTATATAATATGATAGTGGTGTTGGTGGTAGATAGTGGCATGTATATAATATGATAGTGGTGTTGGTGGTAGATAGTGGCATGTATATAATATGATAGTGGTGTTGGTGGTAGATAGTGGCATGTATATAATATGATAGTGGTGTTGGTGGTAGATAGTGGCATGTATATAATATGATAGTGGTGTTGGTGGTAGATAGTGGCATGTATATAATATGATAGTGGTGTTGGTGGTAGATAGTGGCATGTATATAATATGATAGTGGTGTTGGTGGTAGATAGTGGCATGTATATAATATGATAGTGGTGTTGGTGGTAGATAGTGGCATGTATATAATATGATAGTGGTGTTGGTGGTAGATAGTGGCATGTATATAATATGATAGTGGTGTTGGTGGTAGATAGTGGCATGTATATAATATGATAGTGGTGTTGGTGGTAGATAGTGGCATGTATATAATATGATAGTGGTGTTGGTGGTAGATAGTGGCATGTATATAATATGATAGTGGTGTTGGTGGTAGATAGTGGCATGTATATAATATGATAGTGGTGTTGGTGGTAGATAGTGGCATGTATATAATATGATAGTGGTGTTGGTGGTAGATAGTGGCATGTATATAATATGATAGTGGTGTTGGTGGTAGATAGTGGCATGTATATAATATGATAGTGGTGTTGGTGGTAGATAGTGGCATGTATATAATATGATAGTGGTGTTGGTGGTAGATAGTGGCATGTATATAATATGATAGTGGTGTTGGTGGTAGATAGTGGCATGTATATAATATGATAGTGGTGTTGGTGGTAGATAGTGGCATGTATATAATATGATAGTGGTGTTGGTGGTAGATAGTGGCATGTATATAATATGATAGTGGTGTTGGTGGTAGATAGTGGCATGTATATAATATGATAGTGGTGTTGGTGGTAGATAGTGGCATGTATATAATATGATAGTGGTGTTGGTGGTAGATAGTGGCATGTATATAATATGATAGTGGTGTTGGTGGTAGATAGTGGCATGTATATAATATGATAGTGGTGTTGGTGGTAGATAGTGGCATGTATATAATATGATAGTGGTGTTGGTGGTAGATAGTGGCATGTATATAATATGATAGTGGTGTTGGTGGTAGATAGTGGCATGTATATAATATGATAGTGGTGTTGGTGGTAGATAGTGGCATGTATATAATATGATAGTGGTGTTGGTGGTAGATAGTGGCATGTATATAATATGATAGTGGTGTTGGTGGTAGATAGTGGCATGTATATAATATGATAGTGGTGTTGGTGGTAGATAGTGGCATGTATATAATATGATAGTGGTGTTGGTGGTAGATAGTGGCATGTATATAATATGATAGTGGTGTTGGTGGTAGATAGTGGCATGTATATAATATGATAGTGGTGTTGGTGGTAGATAGTGGCATGTATATAATATGATAGTGGTGTTGGTGGTAGATAGTGGCATGTATATAATATGATAGTGGTGTTGGTGGTAGATAGTGGCATGTATATAATATGATAGTGGTGTTGGTGGTAGATAGTGGCATGTATATAATATGATAGTGGTGTTGGTGGTAGATAGTGGCATGTATATAATATGATAGTGGTGTTGGTGGTAGATAGTGGCATGTATATAATATGATAGTGGTGTTGGTGGTAGATAGTGGCATGTATATAATATGATAGTGGTGTTGGTGGTAGATAGTGGCATGTATATAATATGATAGTGGTGTTGGTGGTAGATAGTGGCATGTATATAATATGATAGTGGTGTTGGTGGTAGATAGTGGCATGTATATAATATGATAGTGGTAGATTGTGGTAATATATAATATGTAAGTGGCATATAATGGGTTATGATGATGTTTGTAATATCTCCTATATAAGGAGTGTCATTTGGTCTTGTAAGATAAGAAGTTTTGAATATAACAGAAATATATTCCTTCTTCCTCATATTTTTCGGAGTTCTTCTTCTTCATATTTTCTAAGTATAATAATAAGTGTGGTCATTTTCTATTTAGCTTGGTTAAAATATGTATATATATATATATATTTAGGTTTTTATTTATTCTTTTACTTTTGTCATTATTTATCTTATATATAATTTAATGATTGATTTTTTGTATAATATAAAGTCATTAATTATTAAAATAAAATGTAAAAAACTCAGTTTATAGTGATTTAAAAATATGAAATATATTGGATCATACTTGAAAATTTATAAAAATTGATCAATATTTATTTTAAACCCAATAAATATGATCATGGAAAAAAAATATGCATATCGGTAAGTTTTTTTTCCAATTGTGCGGAAAAAAAAAAAATCACGGTTCCGGTTACTGCAACCGTTACGCTACAGCCTTTACACCCCACAACCGCAACCGCGCCATCGCCATCGTTACAGTGACCGCAACCGCTTTTCAGAACCTTGGGTGCTACTATTAACATCCCAATTTATCTTTGGACCCCCACTTGCTTTAAACCCTCACCAACTAATTTTAAAATTTGTAAAGAAATGTAGGTGCTATCAGCAACACACCTAGTTTTTGAGGTCAAAGTGATTAAGTATTACCGATACAACTATAGTTATTATGGATTTATTGAACATAGTGTCAAGCTAATTTTGATCATCAATACTCTTAAAACCTTATATCTTAGTGGGCACATTAATAAATCCGTCAAAACCCGGTTGCTCTTTGAGAGTTCTTGGTTAGAATTTGACACTGATGTTTTGCTCAAATTATCTGTTTTAAGCCTATGTATGCAAATATTTTTACTTCAATAGAATATTAGTTGTGATTATGGATCTGATGAAGTCAAGGGTGTCTATTCGTCGCAGGTGGCAAACCGTTAAGGTATGGCTCCATAATCTCATGAAGACGATTCTAAAACGTTTCCGCTGGGGATATGTACTAGCAGCGTTCACTGCGTTAGCAATGGCTGCCATTAGCTGGACACTGGAATCCAGTGAAAGCTACTGGGTTTGGCACAGGTATGACAATTTCATAACATAATGCATACCCTCTTTGGCTATGTTTGGTGCAACTTATTGGAGCTTTGTATATATACACTAGTGGGTGTGTTGTTAAATTTGTAAAATATAAATTTTAAGGGTAAATTACAAATGCATCCCCTGAGATTTGCTTAAAATACGAATTGCCCCTGTGGTTTGGAAAATTACAAATACCTCCTGTCAGAATTTTTCATTTAACAAAATTAATTGAAAAAGAGAAATTTCTAACTATTCACCTATACAATAATAAAATTATCTGAATTATTAATTGAAATAAAATTTTAATATTATTAAAAACTGTTAATTAACTTGATGATTTATTAATAAAATGACCTATTTGTTATGAAATTAGAAACCTTAGGAGGCATAATGTAATTTCTAGAACCACAGAGGATAATTTGTAATTTAAGTAAACCTCAGGGAGTGTGTTTGTATTTTACCCAAATTTTAATTTTGGTTTTAAAATATAGCAATTGTTGTGTGCTGATTTAAGTGTAAAGATGTTTCCTAAACTCAAGGTCTTGAGTTCAAGCCCCATCCTTCTCTTGTTTTTTTTTTTTTTGGTACATAAACACCAATTATAGGGGGTATTTTGGAAAAATCTAAAATATGAGACATTTTGTGCGTCAACACCATCTCAAGGCTTCACATATATAATAGAACAGATCAAGAGAAAAGGTCAAGGCTTCACATATATAATCGAGTAGATATAATTTAGGAATCAGAATCAGTCTTAGAGTGTTTGATACAGTTTCTGCTTATAAGTTATGAGATAAAAATAGCTTAAATAAGTTGAGAAAAACTGATTATCTAGAAGTTGGGAATGAATGCTTTTAGGTGAGGTTTGGCAAATGCTTTTTTAGTAGCTTTTTGTTTTTCACTTTTTCATGAAAAAGTAGTTGAAAAAATGGTGTGTTTGGAAAATGCTAAAAAATTGTTTTTTCATTATTGAGAAAGTTGAGTGGAATTTTTTTTTCCCTTTTTGTCAATTTATCAGCCTTTACCAAACAGACAAATTATTTTTTGGTTGAAATAGCCAAAAAATGACTTTTTTTTAGCAACTTTATGCTTATTAACTTTCAGCTTAGGAAAAAATTGCACTAAACAGGGCCTTTCCTCTCCCCTCTCTCAATCCCCCCCTCTCTCTCTCTCTCTCTCTCTCTCTCTCTCTCATGTTTGGTGCATAAAATGGCTTGCAGTGTGTGGCATGTGAGCATATACTCTTCTTCCTTCCTCTTCCTCTGTTCAAAAGCAATTACTATAGATAGCGAGAATCAAAATCAAAGACCTCCAGATGGGAACTACGAGTTAACTCGTCGTGATTCTTTTTCAAGAGGTGGAACAGAATGACCGTAAAAGACATATTCCTAGGTATAACAAGCTCCGAGGGAAGACAAGTTTTTGTCACGGTGCTGAGACTGAACAAGTCGGTTTCTCTGCATTGTCTGAAGATTGACTGAAACGCCTCCAAATAACACCCTTTTCGCTACTTCAACTGAAGCAGTTTGTTGTATTTGTTCTCATTTACCGGTATGGTTTTAGGAATCAGGTAATCATTTGTATGTATATGTCAATCTGTATAAATCTTTTAGATACAGAAAGAGCTGAGGGAAAAGAGAAATGTTATAGGAATTGTTTGTTTTTGTTTTTCTTTCTAGGAGGTGGAATAGAATAACCTGGTTGAAGCGTAATGATCATACATTTGTAATGCATTGTATGTCCCATAATAGGTCCCATTCGTCTATCTTTTCCCGGAAGTCGATGACTATTCATAGCTATTACCTTGACATCATAGAAGAGTTCGATCCAACGCTTTATTTCTATCCTATTGATTTTTCCCGAATAACCAAATACTGTTTGTTTTTTGTTTATACAGGATAGGATCATAGGAGCAAACTAACAAAGGTGAGTGTATTCATAGTCTTGTAAACTTTGTGAATTTTATGCTGATTTTCATGTATCACGTCTTGTAATTATGTTCAGCAGTATTTTTTCATAAACTTCAATGTGTGTAGAAGAGTAATGATAATATACAAACAGAAAAATTTAAAATATAAATATATACAGAAATGATGTGGTAAATTTGTGTTTATTCATTTTGAAATCAAAAAATTAGATCAAAGTGACTTATTAATTCAAAAACTACCATCACATCATTCTAGCAACTGTTTTTTAAAATAAAATTTATGTTTACAAATTATTTTCCAATGCAGAATTATTCTAGTGAGACACAGTATTTTTGATCTGTTTAGTTGACTTTTCAAACTTGTTTCTGCGTTTTTTTTTTTTTTTTAAATCATAAAATAATTTGACAAGAACAAACACAAAATAGGATATATTTTAAATTTTTAAAAAACTTTTTCCCTAAAGAAAGAGAAAACCGAATAAAAATAATGAACTTTTTATTTTCATTTTGTTTTCACAAAACTTTTCTCTTTTTTAAAAAAAATTTAAAAACAAAATTTGAAAATTGAACTAAACAAATCTTGTTATTGTAAACAACATTAAAATAAATTCATGTATATGGTAAGGTTTGGAGCACATGACCGGGTGCAGTGAAAAAATACCAGACCCTTGGAGTCAATTAACTCATCAGCTAGAAGTTATTTATGGAGCCAACAAGCCATTTCGCCTCCTCCCCCTTTCCCCTCTTGACACCAAAAAACAAGATAATAAAATAAAAAATAAAATAAAAAAAATATTGATGCTTGTAAGAATATCTACACTCCAAAAAAAATATATGCAAAATAAGCAAAGAACGATAAATGTATAAATGGTAAATACATGGACAACTCAAGTACAAATGCCTTCAAAGTTCACTCAAGACCCCTCCCAATAATACATACAAAATATGAGGAAACAAAGGCTACTTACATAATTCTTCATCTCTTATTCACACAATCTTGCAACAAATCAACCTTCTTGAAGTGCCATTTCTACAATTTTCTTTTGGAAAAATACAAATAACAATACATACACATAAATTTTTACAAAAAAGGTATACAAAAAATAACACCACATTCGTCTTGGATGGGGCTCACATTTTACCAGGATGAATGTTATGCTGCCAGAACAACATTCCATGCACTTTTTTGAGAAATTCTTGTGCTTGTAGCATTACTATTTGGAATAATATTGGATATGTTCTACCATAAAAATCCATGGCCAGTCCTCTGGAGTGAGTATACCTGCTTCGTTTTTATCTCTGCACAGTTCTATATCCAATGCAATAACTCTGCCCTAGATACAAACACTCAATTTATTCTTCTCTTATTGAAGAACTCCTCAGGGAACAAGAAGAGAGTGAAGGGGTTTCGGAAGTTGATAGCTCCCTGTAATCCTTGCGGATGCTCCAGAGGATCTCTGCACATCTCCTCATGGTTGGTCGGTTCTGCTTGTGAGGAGCCAAACATTGTAATGCTAGCTCGAGGATCTTTTCCACAGCAAAAGTATTGGCAGGACATTGTTCCAGCTTCGGGTCCAAAGTTACAATTGCATCTCCATCAGTAAACTTTTTCATGGCCTGCATTTTACCAATCCAAAGTGACCTCAGCCATTAACACCATTTTCTTCGAGCAACGAAAGTAAACCTATCTTTCCACGTGCAGTAAGTCTATAAACACTATTTTTTTTTAATAGAAGTACACAGAATGCAATGTTGATAGCACTGTATTCAACCTGGTGGAGTTTGGGGGAGTGTGGGCTCCATCAAGGATGAATGCAGTGCAAACAACATTGCATTCTGTGAAAATTTTGTGCAAAGAAAGAGTTGGACAGCAAATGACCTCAACTCTCAACTCCATTAAATAGATGACATATATACATGTTGGATGTCTACTTGATTCCAAAGATGAATATGAAACAAGGGCAGTTGGTACTAGAGAGACCAAGGATCAGGATTCACCCAAATTGAGGAGTTCACTGGTAGGAGGGTTACCTAGGAAATTTTTTTAATTTATTTTTATTTTTAAATATGTCATAATGATTGGAGATGGTAAAAAAAGAGAATAATACCCATCTTGCAGTTATGCGTTCCTTTAGTTCCTGTTTAGGTTCAATGGGGCGCCTGCCTGTAACTAGCTCCACCAATAACACACCAAATGAATAAACATCACTCTTCTCAGTTAGTTGATAGGTTCTTAGGTATTCGGGGTCTAGGTATCCAGCAGTTCCTTTTACTTGGGTGGATACATGGGTAGCGCCCGATTCACTATCAGCTGCCAATCGAGCAAAACCAAAGTCAGCCACCTTGGCTCGGAGGTTCTCTGTCAGAAGAATGTTGGAAGACTTGATATCTCTATGGATGATAGGGTGATCTGCAATCAAATTAAATAATCACCCAGTTGGATTGCTTAAAAGAGGCAAAAAAAGTAACTTGAATTTCTTCATTCCAACAAATTGAAATGATGGATTCATAAAAAACAGACCTGTATACATATGGAGATAGGTAACTGCATGGGCCACATCTATTGCAATATCTAGCCGTGCAGTGAGATCAAGAATATTGCTGTGCATGCCTGCAATTAGTCCTTCAAATATGTTTCAACATTCAAGTCTACCCGTGTGTGTACAACTAAGGAGCACAGACACGGACATGTGACATGACATAGACACAACACATACACATACACATTGATATGGAAATTTTCAGAAAAATGTAGAACACAACATGTGAGGGATATGTGCCAAATATATAATTTTATATATTATTATATGTTATGTTATATATGAATATTTAAGTCAAAAATTATAATTCTTAAAGTCTGAAGGAGGAGAATATGTATAAATTTACACTGTTTTTTGTCTCATCATTGAGTTTTAAATTATTTTATGCAAACTTGTAGTGTGTTATATATCTAAGTGTTAGGAAGTATCTGACGAGTGTCATGTCATATTGATGTCAGACACAACACATTACCTTCTTAGAAATATCTGTGCTTCTTAGGTGTACAATCATGGACAAAGAACATAACAACCTAAACAAGACGGTTCGAATAGAACTCACAATCCAAATGTTCTCTAAGAGTTCCATTGGGAACATACTCCACAACGACAATCCTTTCATCTTCATGCTCCAAAAACCCATAAAACTTGACCAAATTCAGATGTTCCACTTGTGCTAGAGTTCGAATCTCACTTTGAAATTCCACTCCCAAATGCTTATCATATACACTCTGCAGAGAAAGATGAGTAGAAAGAAAGTTAAACCACATTTCACTCGTTATGTTTTAAGCTCCCCAACAATTTCAGGAAACACCTCAAACCTTTTTAGCCCGTTTAACTGCAACTACAGTTCCGTCTTCAAGTCTTCCCTTGTAGACTGTCCCAAAACCTCCTTGTCCGATTTTGAATGATGGGGAAAAGTTCCTTGTAGCCTTGAAGATTTGAGCCATGGTGAATTTAAAACTCCCAGGCTCCCTTGTGCGAGTGGAGTCACTAGAACTGCCATAAATACCACGATTTGAGGCACGCTTCCTCTCACTGCCAGCACCAGAAGCATCCGACACAACTAAGGATTGAACAATTTAAGAAGTTATTCCAATTTATCCATTCCATTTCATGAAACAAGTAAATTAGAAATGTAACATCACTCTCATAAATTCTTGTTACTCTTATATGTTTATGCTTAGGCAATTTCTTGTAACCCTGAAAAAAATTGAAGTTTGGGAAGCACCCAAAGCATCAGAATAACTCGGAATTTGAGAGCTAGTCAGATAATGGTAACCGCGAAAAAAATGAAGTTTAGGAAGCATTCAGAGCATCAGAATCCGAGAGCGAATCAGAGAAGATAATGGGAATAATTGAAAGAAAACAATGCCTGGCTGTTGAGAAAATATGGGAAAAGATGAAAAAGTCAAAAATTCAGAAGTATATATGTTTTGCAGTGTTTGGCACCAGAGAAAAACAAGAAGCCTCACTTGATCAACTTTCGTTTTTTCAAAACCCAAACAACACAGAAGATGAAGTTCAACGAATCATTCCCACTTTCTTTCGTTTTACATTTTTCTCAGCACCGACACAAAATCAGCAAAGGAAGAAATCTTTGACTTGGACACAATAAGATCCAAACCATAATGTTCAAAAAAAAAAAGAAAAAAGAAAGAAAAGAAGTAAGTCAACACGAAATCTACGCTCAATCAGTCTCACTCAGAGCATCAGAATAACTCGGAATTTGAGGAATAATAATAGTTGAAAAGAACACAATGCTTGGTTGTCGAGAAAATGCAGGAAAATAAGAAAAAGTCAAAATTGAGAATTATTTCAACTCCAAAATCAAAACAACACAACAAATCAAAGTCCAAATAATCATTTCCATTTTCTCAACATTAATTTTTCTACAACACAAAATCAACAAAGAAACAAATCTTTTAATACAATAAGATCCAAACCATTCGGTAATTCTACTAGAACACCACATAAAAAATAATAAATATAAAAAAATCCGAGTAAAAAGATCAAATATTGGGACATAAACTTGTTTTAACAAAAATAAATTATTCAAATATACATTTCGTTCAATAGTTTATACAAGAACAACCATTTTTTTGTTCAGAAGTTCAAAGTTTATAACATATATTGGAAATTGAGAGAATTAATTACCAGAAGGAGGAGGTTTGAATTCGTCAGAATAAGCGTAATCATTGGCCGCCTTAGCGTCCGGTGGAGTGAAGCAAGCGATGAAAGCTCCGGCGACGAGCTTGACAGGGTTTCGGGAGGAGATTGACTTTTGGGAGGAGGAAGAGGAGGAGTAGACGGAGCTCGGAGACTGGGGGTGCCGCTCCGGCGTACGGAGGGGACCGGAGCTCGAGTACCGGCTTCCGGCCGGCGAGTCCCGACTTCTCATTCTAGAGAGAGAGAGAGAGAGAGAGAGAGAGGATCGTGGAAATGGCGGGTGGTTGGGTTTGGTTAGCGACGGTGCGAGTTTTTCAGAGGTTGGACTTTTCGATATGTATATCTCTAGGTGGCAGGTGGGGGCTAACTTGCGCCGCCAATAGCTGGAACTTGGGAAAGTGTCTTTCCCTAAACATGAGGTAACCTTGTGTGGCAAGCAGTGAATTATCAGATTTTTTTAGTAACGTTTGGTTGTGTTTGGGAATTGTGATTTTAATTAGTAAAAAAAATTTAATTTTTTTTTTCAATTTATAATTAAATAATTTTTTTTTTCAAATTTAAAATTCTTCTCAAAATTTAAAATTAAATTCTTTTTAAAACTCTATTTTTAAAAAAGAAATATTTTGTTTTTTAAAATTATGATTTAAGTGTAAAGTTGTATTTTAAGTTATGAGTTATGAGATGAGTTTTGAAAATAGAAAATTTATTTGGTTGTTAATTTTAAAAGGAGTTTTGAATTTTATTTTGAATTTTTTTGGATATATTTTTTTAATATTTAATTTTTTTTAATTTTATTCTTTTAGAGTAAATATTTTATATTTTAAATATTTATTTATTTATTTTAATGTGCCCTATATTTTATATATTTGTATGTTGTATTTTAAAAAAAATTAAAATATTAAAAAAATTATTTTTTATTTTAAATATATAATTTTTATTTATTTTAGATATGTTATTTTATTTTATAAATATTTTAATTTTTCTGTTATGTATTTGGTTACGATTTAAATGTAGAGTATTGAAAGTAGTGTAGAGTTTTTAATTATATCTTTAAGCCTTGTTTGGAAGCGACCGGTTTAGACAAAAACTCAAAAAGTTACTAAAAAAAGTCAAAAACCCAACAACACATACCAAAAAGTCAAAAATTCTCTTTTCTCTCTACTTTTTACATATCTTTTTGTAAAATGCTAAAAAATCATTCCAAACATACTAGTTTTTTTTAGCTCATATTTTAGCTAAATAGCTAAAAAGTTACTAAATTAGTCTGTTCTCAAACGAGGCCTTAGTTATGAGTTTTAAAAATAGTTTTTGAATTAAAATTATGTGTTTAGTTGCGATTTGAGTATGGAGTTGTGTTTTGAGTTTAAAATAAAAAAAAATTAAAATATTTACAAAATAAAATAAAATATTTAAAATAAAAAATAAATTTTTCTTAAATATTTTTTTAATATTTAAAAAAAATAAATCTAAAAAATTCAAAATACAATTCAAAATTCAAAAGTTCAAAACTCAAAATACAACTCAAAATTTTTTTCAAAATTCAAAACTGTTTTCAAAATTCAAAATTCAAAAACACTTTTCAAAACTCATAACTAAATAAATTTTTTTCTTTTCAAAACTAAACTCACAATTCCATACTTAAATTATAACTCCACACTCAAATCATAATTCTAAAATTAAACCAAACGGAACCTTTTATTTTATGAATTTTGTTAACAAGTGCATCTTTACCATCTAAAAAAAACAAATAAGTGCCCTTGGCCTCATATTTTGGGAAAACAATTAACTATCTGTTGTTAGGATTACAAATGAACAGAGTCGTTCATAAATAAATTCAAGTTCAGCTCGGTAACTCGTTTCAACTCAATTCGTTAAATTTCTTTTGCATTCGACCTCGAACTCGTTAAATTTTTAATAAATAAGCTCAAATATACTAAAGGTCGGCTCGTAAACTTGACTTATTAGCTGGCTCGTTTAAAATTTATTATTTATATATTAAATAATATAAAAATATGTATAAAAATAAGATAAATATGTTATTTATATATTTAAAATATATAAATGTAAATAATAGTTAACTATAAATAGCATATTTATATAATAGTAGTGATAAATATTATTATTTTAGTAAAATATTGACATTTTTTAGTATGTTTATATATATTGTATATGTAATTGTATAATCAAAATTTTAATTGTAACTTTAGTCTCATACTCGAATATGAATTTATAATTTTTTTACCTCGTTAAGACTCATGAACAAGTTCAAGCTCGAGTCAAATCTAAACCAACTCAGCTTGAGCTCGACTCGTTAAATTTTTATTGAGTTTGCGCTATAACTCGAACTCGTTAAAATCTTAATAAATAAGTCCAAACATACTAAAGTTGGCTTGACTAATCTCGTTTGTAATCCTACCTCCAGTATCGGAGACAAGGGAAATGATTAAATATTTTTATTTTTACAAATCAAATTATCTTTTTCTTTAATTATTTTTATTTTTATATTTTTATAATGGAATATTTTTTTTATTATCATAAAAGTGAAATTTTTTAATTTTTTTTAAAGGACATTTTCGCGGCATTTTTAAATGTCCTTTATTTTTTTTTATATTTGCTATAATTTTTAGATTCATTTTCTTTACATCATATAGTTTAATTATAATTGAAAAAAAATATTATAAATTTAAAAATAAAATTCCTTTGTTGATTAATATAATGAATTTTTTAAAAAAAATTTAAATTTTTAGATTCATTTTCCTTACACCATATAATTTAATTGTAATTGAAATTTAAAAATAAAAAATAAAAAAAGTCAAGAAATATCATTTAAAAAAATAAAGGCCATTCACTTTTATGATTAAAACAGTATACTTTGCCAATACTGTTAAAAGTCGGTTTTTAAAATTTTTTGATTTTTATAAGTTATATTACCTCTTTATTTTTTACACGTTTATTCAAAAAAAACAAAAAAAATAATAATAATCAAAAAGTCAATTCTAACCTACTTTTCAAAATATGTTTTTAAAAAAATCATTATGAAAAGTATATAAAAATAGAGGCAGAGAGGGTAATTTGGTCTCTAACAATACACCATTTATAACATTTTCAATTGTCCATAATAGTAAGATTGGTTAAGTGTATTTAATGCATCTTGAAACTCTTATTTTATTATTTATTGGATTATACACAAGTTACCATAATTTTTTTTTTTAAATATAAGTAGTTTTAAATTATTTATTTCGTGGATTTTCACAATTTATTTATTTATTTTAAATTTTTAGAAAAATTTGTTTAACTAAAGAAATGAAAAAAACAAAAATAATTATTTTCATATAATTTTTCTTGGGCGAAAATAATCTTAAAAATATGTTTTTTAGTATTTATTTTTGTTAAATTAGTTTTCTTTAAAAAAAAATTTAGAAAACAAGTTTTGAAAACTCAATTAAATAATTATTTTTTAATTTTTAATTAAATTATAAAAAAAATGAAGTCATATTTTTACGGGCAAATTATACTTTACTCCATTCAACAATGAGTTCTTGGCAGCTCCAAGTGTCCAACATGTTCGAAGGCAAGGGAATTCGGTAGCTTGCTGCTTGGCTAGGATGTAGGGGTGTAATTTTGGTCCGTGGCCTGCGGGCGGCTCGAAGCCCGCCTGCGGCCTTATGTGGGCCCGGTCCGTTAAGGCCTGTGTAAGCCCAAGCCCAGTGGTCTAGCCCGAGGCCCGTCCCAAAGCTTGAATACCCTTGGGCCTAGGCCTAGTTTTCTAGCCTGTGGGCCGACCCGGCCCGATCTGATTTTTGGCAGGAGCCCGCAAGACCCGACATAGGCCGGGCCAAAATTACACCCCTACTAGGATGGATGTTGAATTTGGAGGGAGGCTCGATTTGCATAGAAGAGGTTACTTGTTCGTTGAGATCATTAGTTGTGAATGATGCTTTGATTGATTCTGTTTAGTATTCACCATTTTACTATCTGAAAAAAATTAAAAAAATACAATGAGTTTTGTCACTTTACCATCTACAGTTAAAATTTGCTACATTTTCTCTCTAAAATATTTTGATTTATTTCAATCTTAATATTTTGTTAGTATTTTTTAAGAAAAATAAAATGAAAAACCAATGTATGAGTTATACATGCCAATCTTATGAAAAAAAATATTTATTGAATAAGTGGTTTATATACATTTATATAGGAGATAAGCGAACCACTTCACTGTCGGAGCACATACTAGGATATTGTCCGCTTTGTACCATTGGGGCATGCACGATTTTGTTATTTCTTCACTGGAAAAGACTTCTTGGAGGTTCGTGGGCATGTCACACTTCATATATAGGGTGAATCAAGAATACCTAGCAAATCGATCTGTGATAGATTTCCACTCCAAAAAATGCTATGATCCCACCCTTAGGAATGCATAATTTATTTCGAATGGGTTCATGTGGTGAAAATTAAATTGATGAAGTGTGAGATTATGAGTAAAATGAATTTGAACTATTAATTTATTTTTCTGAATAAATTCTAAGCCGATAGGAATGAATTTATAATGTTGTTTCCGCATCCTACAGGAGATATGTATGTATTTTTTCATATAATTTATATGTGGATACGTTTCCTCCCACATGAAATCTCACATAGATGTCTTGTACTCTAAGTGATATATTTGTCTTTATATTAGTTAGTAAAAAATGTAATAATTTTTAGTTTAGGAATGATAACATGTAATTTATTAAATATTTTTAATTTAAATCATGTTTAATAAAACGACTTTGGATATGAGGTGATGTTAGGAAGTTGTGCACAAAGTGACATAAATTTGATAAATAAATTTATGCGAAGAAGTTATTCAGTATTTTGAAGGTACAGTCCCGTGATATTCAACTTAAACATGATTAATCAAAATGATAAAGTAAATTAATTTTGTTAGTGGTGTTGGAAATGGATATAAAATTTTGGATAAAATTAGAATTTTTTCATAAGTTTGGTCTATTTTTTAGGTCGGCCCCGTGCGTCGATTTTTACGGGTCAAAGTGGTAACACGTTCTATGCCGCGTTGTGATTTACGTGGTATATTTGGTTGCTCAAAACCATTACCGAGTGAATGGGAAATTGAAGCCAAAGTGTGTTCTATGGAAATAGAGTTTTGGTAGAAATTCCTTAAGGTTGTAAACTGGCTTGTCCCACATTGATTTGGAGGGAGGTTTTGAATGGGTTTATAAGGCTTGGGTTTGGTACTTGAGGTGTGCCCCAAGGGGTACCCAAGTGTTTTAGAGGGAGAGGTTATGAGCAAAATGGGCTAGACCCATTGGATCCAAAAATCACCACACGCGCACCGCCGTCCGGTCGGTTGGACGGGCTGGGCGTGGGTGTGAGGTTGGGTTGGGCTTGTTTGGCCCAATGTTAAT